ACTTTTGCTTTAGTGTTACTCAGCGCCCTCCTAAGACGAAATAACCCTTATCGCACTTTATTGGCAGCATGGCGACACTGGCTTAAAATTGTTCACCATGAAGACACCTAGATGGCGGGCTTCATTATTACACCACAATGATAGAGATCCCGCAAGAGACTGAACTGCAATTCCGCTACTACTACTATTAGTCAATAGTTGACATTTATCGGCATTCAGAGGTAGATCCCATTGGCTTGACCGATTCACCAATGATTATGTCCTTAGACAATGTCGCTCGGTTTCCCCTAATGACTAGCTTTAAGTGGTCTGCGAAGATATAGCAGGGATCCTCAAGAAGAGGAGCCAGGTCATTTACAAACATAAGATACACCAATGGACCCAGTACCGAATCTTGGGGGACACCGCTGTAGGCATGACCCACACTAGAACTTGCTTTCCCAACCCTGACGCTGAATATCCTCCCACGTAAAAATTCAGAGAGCCACAGTAATAGTTGAGGATGCAATCCAAACCATGTCAACTTCCCCATTAATAAACGGTGATTCACTGAGTCAAAGGCTTTACTGAAGTCCAAAGAGCACACCTCTACCGACATCCCACTATCAAGACATCGGGTAATCTCATCTAAAAAGCACAATAAATTGGTAAGACACGACTTCATTTTAAGAAAGCCATGCTGTTCCGCTCTAATTAGATTGGGATCAGTCAAGTGCGTACAGATCCTATTTCTTATAAGCTTTTCTAAGCCCTTCAGCATGATACGGGTCAAACTAACAGATCTCTAGTTAAGAAGCACCGACTTAAAACCCTTCTTGTGCATGGTAACAATGGTCGCCTCCTACCAATCATGTGGCAGCTTGCCTTCTTGAAGAGACTGATTGAATAACTCCGCGACAGGGTAATGAAGGATATCAGCCAGCGACTTAATTATGGCAGGATATACACTGTCAGGGCCAGCTGATTCACAAGGATTCAAACTGGCCAGCACTGTGAAGACCTCTGGCACACAGTGAATAATTTCCCGCATTGTATAGCTACTTGAACGGTGCGACTGTGATGGCAAGGCTGAGTCAGTATCCTTCCGATGAGGATTTTGGTAGACACCTAGCAGCGCTTCTACTTTATCGACGTCGTCTACAGCCTGACTGCCGTCCTCCATGATTAGACAGCCGACCACCCCACTTAGAGAAGTCTTTGATTGAACATAACTGTAATAACACATGTGATTTGTTTTCGTAAATTTGGCCAACCTAAGCTTATATGAGTACTTCGCCTGCTGCTGCAACTTAATAGCCATGTTTCGACACCTTTGTATTGCAGCCGTCAGAAGCCCCGAGTTTCTTGATATTTTCTCCACTCAGCATCGCGCCTCTTTATCGCTCTGTCAATCTCCTCCACCATCGGTTTCCCAAGGTGCCTCCTGGGGGTAGAATACTGAATACTGATTAGAAGCAGCGAGTAGAGCTTGCTCTGTGTAGCTGATTCAGTCGTCACTCAAGGACTAATACCCGCTCAACTGGGTTCCGCACGATATATTTTGCGTCAGCAAAGTGTTTGCCAAGGAACTACTTAAATTCCGACACCGAGTTTGCCTCTACTACGTGCTGTGGCAGGTCGTTCCATACAATTACCACTCTGCGTTCGAAACATGGTGAGCGACCCGCTTCAAATCCGGTAGGACAAGCTTATACCGGTGTCCTCGTGTGCTGCTTGGTGTGCGCAGATGAAGCAGTGGTCTCAACATCGGGTAATCACCCAAATCTAGAGGGGCAGATTTGTTCAGTAACTGCACGAGTCTACGTTTGAGTAGGAGCCACCGGTTCCAAAATGGTCTGGTCCTGTTCAGGGATCCAAGTGATTTGAAGGGATCGATCCCGCAGCTTCGTAAAATCAATACGGTTTAAATCCCTTCCCAATCGACGGTTCCCTGCAAGCCTCGGTGTCCAGAGAAAATATTAAAAGGCAATGAGCACTCTTACCTATGGGTGGCTCCACGCGTAAGTCAACCAAGTGACCATGGCTGGCGATCACGATATCAAGGGTTGTAGGAGTACTCCCAGTATGACTCCTGGTCGGAACATGGACGTGTTGCTCAAACGCATTTTCATGCAACCAATCCACAAAGTCATACTCCAGAGTACTCGCCCAGTTTTCAGCAAGCTGCCAATCAGCATGAGGAGGGTTTAGGTCACCGACGACCAGAAAATTAGGTGCGGCCGTTGCCGTCTGTCTTAGTAACGTACCAAGATATTTGTCCTCTTCTCGCGTGGGGGATGGGCTACGATAGATACACGATAATCTCCAATCTACCCCATGCTCTTAGACATCAGGATACCACCTAAACGTTAGCAAAACTCATGGTAAATGGAGCCTCCCAGTGTTTATACTGAGTTTATAAGCAAGAGTACTCCTCCACCAGTCTGATACCTGGACCTATCCGCTCTGTAGCACGAGAAGTCTATAAGCAGACCACTAATAAGGTCGTTTGGAGAAAGCCAGGACCCCGAAACAGCGGCCACATCAACATGCTCACAAGACGTCACTAACTCCCCATTCGTTACGCACACTATAGCAATTAGTGTACCACACGCTTAGTCTCTCCGGACCCAGTTGTTACCCCTCCCGCGTAGAACCCGATGGGACAACCCGTTTTTTGTACCATTTGATTTCCGTCGGCTGCCTGAGTAGATGTATCTACGCTGGGCTGTTGTGAAGCATTACGGGAGAACCTTTTGTTGGCTTCACCCACCTGGGCTTGCTGGATAAAACACCCGACGGGTTTTCTTCCATTTAAGTGAGTCGGACTAACAGCACTGCACTTCGGGTTTTCTGTATGGTCCACATTAGATATGGTGTTTATATTTTTTCTACCATTTTGTGAAATGGACATACCAACCACGGACTTTGGTGCCACTGCTATCGAGCGTGAGGCCTCGATTGTTTTTGAACGCACCGCTTGAAGTTCTATTGCCACATCTTTACTACCCTCTTCCGCCATAGTGATTCGCATTTCCATCAAGAGCAACTTTCTCCACAACCAAAGGCCACGACTTATTTCACTGGTGTCTTGTGGGGAGTGTTGTCCAGACCAGCTGACTGCACCTGCCACAGGAAAGCAGTCGCTAACGGTTTGCTTAGGCGTCTGCGTAACGTGAGGCACACTATCGCAAATTCCAGCGTGCGAGACCGAAGATTCGTTAGCCAAGCTGGTATTAGTACCTACTAACTGGCTCATCCGAGGGGCTTCAGCCTTCGAAGTTAGTGTACCCGATGCTATTTTATACCGACTATTTGTCTCACTTGCAACCAACCCAGCACTGTTAAGTAGTAGGTCCAGGTGTATAGGGTTCCTAAACTCAACCAGAATAGGCCTTGCTTAACCTTGTTGGCGAAGTATATCTGTTTCTCTCCAGCTGCCAACATGTACTCTTTTGATACCAACGTATGACGGTATCTCGGCTATGCGAAGGATATCGTGCATTCGCCTTCTATCTAGGTCCCGTCGAGTTTAAGCTTCCCATATGACTGGCTCCTCCCTATGGTAGAACAGAACGTTTCGTTGTCCACCCATAACAAGTTCTGCACTTCGCAAGTAACATTCCAATGAAGACTACAACTCAGCGACTTTTGAACGCAATGTCTTAATTAGCAAGCTCTAGTCACTTTTTCACTGTCTAGTCTATGCACACAGTTCCTACCAGCAGAATCATGTACAGCTGAGACATGAGTAATTGGAGCAAAGGTCCGATCGTGTACCAAGCGAGAACAAGTGTCTGCTAAGCACACACAGTGGAAGCAAATCCATTCTTATTGGCGATGTCGGGCATAAAGATCAATAGAGTCCTAGTCTAACCTACAGCAACTGCTATGGTCCCATAATAAACATCTGCCTCACTGAATTTTCTCTTTGACGTTAACGCCACAAGTGTGCTCACCACATTTATAGCCAGCCACCGATGTCGCTGCTAAGAGTACGTAACAGCCACATGTAAAATAGAAAAGCTAAGTAGTCTGGTGGGATTAAAAGAACCAAACTGGTGCAGATATGACGGCGTAAGACAAAAAAGTAGTCACAAGTCAATACCATAGAATATACAACAATATTAAACACAACTATAAACACTGAATTAATACGACTAAAAGGAACACAAAGTGAAGTAATACTGTAGCAAACTTACGCGGTTAACGAAGATCCAAGATATATAGGATAAACAATTGGTGGAAAAGAATAGACTTCTCACTCAGTCGCTTTAGAATACGCTTCCAAGCTAAATCTGAAGGTAAAATTGCAAGAGGGAGATTTTACAAAATTTCAAATGGCGCAGGAGGGTGGTATGATACGCTAACGTATGGTCAGCAAACATTAGTGCTGCCATCATTAGCTCCCACGGCAAGTCGTTTACATATGTGTCGAACAACAATGGCCCAATAACGAGCCCTGCAGGACGCGAGGAGCGTTGATTTCACAAGGTCAGAAAATGCTTAGCAGGCACGATCCTGCAACAGATATATCAATCAATGCAGTATACATCCAAACAAAAATTCCGTTCAACTTCCGTAGCTACGCAGCTCTGCATCATCAATCTTCATTCTCCGAAAGCAACGTTGCATGCATTTTAAGGAACATTATTTCACGCACTGATCCGCTTCGTTGATTTGAACATAATGTTTGTATTATGAATGTTAAAGTAACATCGGAAAGTGTTGTACTTTTTTAATCCGTCAACCAAAATATTATTATAACAAACTCGTGTAATGGGTTCATATGAGTGCTGAACCACACAACAGGAAAATACGCAAATTCAAATAATCCTTCTATTGTGAAATAAAATGGTCCCACTTACGGCACGCCCGCAATTCAAGTAACCGCATCAAAGCTATACTTTAACTATACAAGGAGGTGAGCGGCATATATATGCTTTTACTGAAGGTACGTACTTTAAATTACGTGCCATCTATTTGTCTTCTCATCCCCTTTGATTTTCACTAGCTCATAGCAAGTTCAAGTTCAAGTTCAGTTGGGACCGGAACGATAGGATAATCCCGTGAATGTTCCTTCTTTTGCGTATCGTTGGATCGGGAATTGACAGGTCTGCTTGAGATGTTGAAAAGTCTAAAACAAAGACCGCATCACACCCTGTCCAACCAATTACTGCCCACATTTTCCTGCCCAGCAGTCCCTGCCGGGCCGGTTTATGTGAAGTAAAAGAGTGAAGGGTAAGTTAAGAAAAGAAAAGGAGGAATGTCAGCTAAATAATGATAATACCAAGGTGAGAAGAAGATTAAAAAAGAACGAAGGGAAAGTTGAAGATACAAGTCGGTTAGGAGAAGGGGAAGGTTTGGTACTGCCACCCTAGAGCATCTAATTGACGCTCGAAACCCTCTACCGTAGACTCCCTAACCACGTGCGCTGGAAGCGAGTTCCAACGTTCAATAACTCGACGCGACAAGCGAGTTTCCGTCCTTACCCGGTCAGAACGCTGTTTGTGCAGCTTCAACGGGTGACCTCGGAGACTAGGCAGCTTGGCGGGACTAAATAGCCAGGATAAATTTGGACCAATCTTACCCGTTAAGATACGGTAAGTGAGAATCAAGTCTCCTCTAATTCTGCGGTAGTGCATTGAGTACATACCCAAGCTAAGCAAACGTTCGGGATACGTTTGCCCCCGTAATCCTTGCACTAACCTTGTACCCACTCGCAAAACCCTCTCCAGTTCCATTTTGTCCCTTACAAGACAAGGTGGACAAGCCTGGATACAGTACTCTAAGTGAGGTCGCACGAAAGCTGAGAACAGCTTCACAAAGATATTGGCCGTTAGGACACCGAAGGAGCGGCGAATAAACCACATCATACGGAACCCTCTACAAGCAGCCTTCCTCCAATTTTCCCCAGAGTGAAGCAAGGAGGTATGGGTGATACCTAGATCAACCTGCTGAATGACAACAGGGAGTTCACTTCCACCAACTACATAGCGCGTGGGGGGACTAGCACCTCCAATGCGGAGGACAGAACATTTCGCCTGATTTATGGGCATCAACCATAAGGTTGACCAATCCCAGAGCCTATCCAAAGCACTCTGAAGTGCCTCAGAGCCACCAGGGATATCCACAATATTCCAGAGCTTGAGGTCATCAGCAAACAATAGCGACGGTACTCCAAGCTCCTCGGGTAGGTCATTGACATAAATTGCGAAAAGCAACGGCCCTAGAACCGAGCCCTGCGGAACGCCACTAAGAACAGCTTGTCTAAGCGAAAGGCTACGCCCCACGCGTACACACTGTTCTCTGCCCTCTAGGAAAGCAGAAACCCATTTAAGGGCGGCTCCAGATATCCCATACGATCTCAACTTCAATGAGAGTCGCTGATGTGGGACAGTATCAAAGGCTTTCGAGAAGTCAACGAAAAGCACGTCGATGGCGTGGCCGTTGTCTACTGCCTCAGCCCAGCTTTCACGAGCTACAAGCAAATTTGTCAGACATGAAAATCCCTTACGGAATCCGTGCTGGGCCGCACTGAGAAGGTTAAACTTAATCAGGTGATTCTCCACCGAATCCCTGACCAATTTTTCAAACAACTTAACTACTACGCTTGTTAAGCTGACAGGCCGATAGTTCGCGGGCAGAACTCTGTCCCCGCCCTTAAAAATCGGACAGATGATTGCCTTCTTCCATTCAGAAGGTAAGGCACAGCTGTCGAGTGATATTGTAAACATGCATGTCAGAGGGCCACTTAGCTCAGCGGCCAATTCATGCATCAGCTTCGGATGAATTGAATCAGGGCCAGAAGCTTTGGAAGGATTTAGCCCTTGCAATAGCCTGAAGACTTGTGTCTCCGTTATGCTTATTTCAGTTAGGCAAGAATCCTCCGGAACTTTAGTGACCAGCTCAACTTGAGGTAGAGAGGCCTCATGAGAAAAGACACCAGTATACTGTTCGCTAAGTATACAGGCATTATCGTAGTCGGTATGCCCATGGGTCCCGTCCGCTCGTAGTAAAGCCGGTATAGACGAGTTTGTACCGCTACGTCTCTTTACGTAAGCAAAGAACTTCTTTGGGTTTTTTACGGCTGCGTTAGCCAAATCCTCCTCGTACTGAAGACGAAGAGTTCTAAGATGATGCTTACATTCATTTCTAACCGCTCGATAGCTTTCGTAGGTGCTGGTTGATGAAGCCGCTTGGTAAGTTCGCCAGCACTTAGAGCGCTTCCTGAGCAGGTATTTACCTGTATGATCTATCCATGGAGGCTGCGCCCGTGTCACCCTTCTCTTAGTGAATGGGATGTGGGGAGCAGAGATCTCAGTGAGGTACGCTTTAAATTTCTCCCAGGCTGTCTCAACGGTGTCAGCCACGGTGATCGCACAACGCAAAACTGAAGCTTTGGCTCGTATTGCGTTAAAGTCTGCCCGCCAAATATTTGGACATGCCTCAGCGGTAGCTTGATGACACTTAGTTAGAGCACATCGAAAGGATATGCAGACATGGTCACTGGCTCCTAGAGGACAGTCGTAGGCAATATCACTTACGAAATCGTGTGACTTCGCAAAAATGAGATCCAAGGTAGACGGAATTTGGTTGCGCATATATCTAGTCGGGAGGTCCACGAACTGATGCAAAGGCAGTTGCAATGTTAGCTCAAGGAGATCCGAACCGAAAGTGCCCACCGCCGAACTGCAAGATAGATCAGCCCAGCAGACTTCAGGGAGGTTGAAGTCACCCAGTATTAGACACCTATTGGCAGCCTGAGTACGAATAAATTCAATAACCTCCCTGGAGATACTACCAGGACTTCGATATACCACTACAACTGTAAACTGAGCGGAGGAAGTGCACACAATAGCCGAGAGGGCTTCAACAGTTTGATCCGGCGACTGGAACACCCAAGTCCTCAACACATCGAGTTTACAACTCACATAAAGAGCGACGCCTCCACCTTGGCGGCCAATGGAGCGATCGCATCTAAGCAGTGCGTAGCCAGGCAAACATACTTCACCGTCTGTGATATCCGGGGACAGCCACGTTTCGGTGATAGCAAGTATGTCGGGACGAGATTTGTCTACAAGTAGACCCACCTCGTGTACCTTGTTCCTTAGGCTACGCACATTACTAAGCACTACCCGAAGGAACTCGGCACGACCAGCCCTGGGTCGTACGCTACCAGAAGAGGTTCTGGTAGGGCAGAATTTGACTTCCGGCTGACCACCTGAAAACCCACAAGACGAAGGCCTTGCTCACCAGCCGCCCGCCTGCTTTTGAGGCTTTTGATGGCTTCCTTTAACTTCAGTCGATCTGCCAGTGGGAGGTCCGGCTGAACGCTGACATTACTACCCTTGAGTTTGAATGCAAAGCGCATTAACGCTTTGCGTTCCTCCGGGGTTGAGAGGACTACACGAAGTAGTCGGGGTCGCGGATTTGGCGTGTCAACAGGGACGTTCCCCAATCTGGTTAATTTCCTGATAGTGACACCGGGGAAACCAGGTGGAAGCATCTTGTTGACGCAGAGCTTGAACCACTGGAGGTCATCCAGCATGCGCTCCTTTGGAAGAGCTGCCGCGGATTCAGCAACGTTACGAAAGATAACGCTACTATCAGTAAAAGAATCACCTCGACGAGGCGTATTCACTCCACGCGTCTTCGACGCGACCTCAGTTTCGACCGGTTTGGCAGATGGCACGGCGCGTTTCTTCGCCAAGTGAGCTGGAGTAATTGAGGTTGAGGCTTTATCCTCTGCCTCCAACTCCCTCACCGGTCTAGTCTTTTCAGACTTTGCGGGTGTGGCCGAAGTCGACACCGCGCGTTGCTTCGCCAATGGAACTGGGGTGATTGGAGTTGGAGTTTTGTGTTCCACCTCCAATACCTTAATGCTTTCAATACCTTCAGGCTTTGAAACAGCCTTAGGGACTTTCTTAGCCCTCTTCCTCCTGCTTTTATTGGGCCCAGGGGCAATAAGTTCGGTCACGCTTTGGACGGCTTCCGGTACGACATCAGAGGCCCCTTTTGAGGCATTCTGGACCGCTGGGACACACGACACGGTAGACATCACCTCAGTCGGATTTCCATCGACAGCAATTGAGGTTAGTTGCGTGTCTTCCTTCAATGAGCCGACATCAATAGAGACTCCCATATTTCTCATCAGTAGCTCCACTTTCCGATCAAGAGATATGAGGAAAGACCACAACTGCTGGTTACCCAGCCCGATGTTGCTCGATGTCTCCTCAGTGACCTCAAGAGGCGTAGATCGACGGCGACGGCATAGAAGACAATGGAACAGCATGCTATCGCTAGTCGAAAGCATTGCGTACTGATCAGGGCTCAAATCGGTGCAGGTCTCATGGTACCAGCAGTTGCATACATAGCACTGCATGCCACCAGACTCGTCCGTCACGGGCTTTGAGCAGCTCCCGCTGCCACATACAGCATTTGATTCGCTGATCAATGCAGCCGAAGACATATTAGCGCCGGTATTCAGTGAATCCGACATGACGCTTTCAAAGAGTGTGAAACAAGTATCAAAACGTAAAACCGACAAGCTGTTACCTGCAGGGCAGTCAACAGAAACAGTTATGGGTTAAACAAGGTGCAAAACGGATTACAAAACACAAAAATACCGGAAAAATAGCCAGAGGCTGAACCCGAAAAAGATGGACGACGTTGGTATGTACCCGAAAACGGGTACGACGTAATCCGGGGAAAACGATGATCCAAAATTCTTTGGATCAAGCGAAATTTGACAAAAGTCAAATTTTTTTGCACGACACTTGTAAACACTGTTCCGGAACTGTCCTTTGAAAGTAAAACCTCAAAAAGACAGCACGCTCAAAAATTTCAATTTACCGCCAAGGAGGAGGAAACCGAAAGTATCAGTTTCAATTGAATTCCAGACACGTTATCCAATGAGAGCGTCGGATTAATCCAAAACAGCTGATCGTATTGTGGGGGCAGTACTGTTTGCTATACTGGCTGCTGGGAATGAATGTTACGAAGCATGTTGTTAAGGCTTGATAAGGGTTTATTAAAGGCATATCAATTTAGGGGAACTGAAAATGGTGGTGCATTATGTTACGATGTATGAGACGGGGTTGGTTTTAGGGCGCTGGTGTGGTTTCGGTTTCGCTGCAATGGCTGTGGATGATACTGTTGCGTTCCGTGCTGCTTTTCGCCAATATTATAAGGCGTTTGGTGAATTCGAGAAAGAGTTGAGGCGGTTTCAATTTCAGACGGCGACGAGTTTTACAAATATGACCTGTTGACCGCTGTGTCGCATAAGAAGTGGTCAGGTTAAGAGCTACCTGAAGGGATGCGGTACAAATGGGTACAATGTCGTTGTGTCCATTGTGCCCGGAAAGGAGAAGGTGGCAGTGGGTAAGTGCAAACGTTGCGTTATGCTTAATTCATGTTACATAGGTATATCAGCCTCGGTTGTAAAGCGAGCATATCTATCAGTGCTAAGGGCATTTATCATGAGATAGGCTCGCATTGTCTGGTGCATAATCATAATTTTCACTTGGGGAATCCATGTTTGTACATGGTTTATGACTCCCACGGCGGGGCGGCAGGTGTTTGATTTAATGCCTTCCTTCCGTAATACCGGAGAATTGCGAGACGGAGAAACGCGAGACTATCAAGTGCTTTGCAAAACCAAAATCCAAGCGTCAGCTCCGTTCGTTCTTGGGAGTGGTGGCATATGACTCAAAGTTTGTGCCCCAGTTCGCAGAGAGGGTCAGCCCGTTGTTAAAGCTGCTTCGCAAGGACGTGCCGTTCGCGTGGACAGCTGAAGCGGATCAAGCCTTTGACCATCTGAAGGCATGCACAGCAGAAGCCCCGACATATCTACGGCTACCCAAGCCTGGTGACAGGTTCCCTGTGGCTGTCGACGCAAGCAACGTGGCAATCGGTGCGGTTTTGTCTCAACCGGCTATTGTGGTGGAGTACGCGAGCAGAGTGCAGACGGGGGCGGAACAGAAGTATTCAACAACGGAGAAATAATGCTTGGCCATCGTGTGGGCGTTAGAGAAGTGGAGAAATTACTTACTGGCGAATGAATTCCGGATCGTCACTGACCCCAAACCGCTCTCGTGGTTGATGACGGCGAAAGACCCGCGGGGACGGCTTGCGCGATAGGCCTACCGATTGCAGGAATTCAACTTCACCATTGAGCACGTGGATGGAACGCAGCATGTATTGCCAGATATGTTGTCACGCCCGTGTTTGGACGACATCATGCCAGACAATGCCATACCGGTGCGTGCGATCGCGATGGGGGAGAGGAACCTGCTGCGCGTTCAAAGGACAGACGAATTCGTGAATGTGTTGTGCTCTCACTTACAGGCTGGCACCAAACCGGAGGCCGCATCGGAAGAGGTGGAGCAACTCCTCAAGATCTGGGACAGGTTGAAGGTCGAAAAGGATAACGTGGTGGTGGCGATAGGCGGACGGAACGTGCCTTTTGTTCCACCAAATCAGCGAGAACGTGTGATGCGTATAACTCATGATGGCGCCCATATGGGATTCGAGCGGGTCTTTGAATTGCTGCGGAGGCGAGTGTTTTGGCCAACCATGAGGAAGGATGTCGCGGCATACATTCGGGGGTGCCCAAACTGCCAAACGAGTCGGGAGATGGAGTCCCCGAGACCGCCGATGCGATCGATGGAGGTTGGTGAGCCACTTCATTGTTGGGGACTGGACGTCTTTGGACCCTTACCAGTGAGTCGAACAGGAAACAGATACATTCTAGTGATGATTGATCACTTCACTCGATGGGTGGAAGCCATACTAATCAAGGACCAAACAGGCGAGACTGTGTCGCAAGTATTCGAACTCAAGGTGCCTGCAAGGTATGGGATCCCACAGTGTATCATCACGGACCAAGGGCCCTGCTTCGCTTCAAATGCGTTTAAAGCAGCGTTGGACAAGTGTCGCATCCGGAAAGGCAACCTGGAAACACTAATCGGTAGCTCAAACACTTTGAAATTTCTTCTCGTCGCCCAGTTTCTTACTGCTCAACAGATCAGCACGTAAAGCAGCCTAGTACTATTGAATGGGAGCATCGTAAGCCTGTAGGCACTGACCAGGTAGGACATCGCATAGCAATGGTAAGCAATCCGAACGGACAAACTTTACTTCACTTCTCCCTTCTCTTCTACACTTTGGTTCCTTCGACTCCATCTTTACCCTAAGTATTTTCCAAATACCTAGTCAACTAGGCCGTCCGTGTGTCATTTCTCTTTTAGCTGGCTCCAAAGCCTACCATGCGCTATGCGTAATGGCGGGTGAACGACCAGCTCCCACTGGTTTTTGATACTATTCTACTCCTGATTTACCTTATCGCTCTTTGCTTAGGGTGCTAGAACAGCTGTTGCCAGGAAAAGCACAAAAGAAATAGTCGGTGTGACATTAGAGTACCAGTTAACATTGCCAACTGGATGAACACCGTCGCCACTATCTTCGGAACTTAAAAATGGAGAGAATTAAATCGCAATTCATCAAAGAGCTGCACAATAGTGTGCATCTACACATGAGGCATAACAATACCTCAAGTATGAGCAAGCTCAACCACCAGAAGTAGCTTTGTTAAAGCCCAACCAATGTAGACCAAAACGGATTTCACGCCCAAATGCAATTAGCTAAATTTTACTAAATTTTCCCATGCTTATTTCTTTATTATTGGTGGCAGGCTCCTATAGCTCACTGACGTTAGAGACAGAGCCTCATGAATATAGAAAATCGGCTCTAAGGGATAAATCTTGTGATGTTTAGCTAAGTAATGTGTGTATTTTGTAGGCCGAAATCTGTCAACGGATCTGAAAGATCCCCAGGGTTACTCAGGTAGACCTGGCTCATGCGGGCTTGTTCTAAGCTTTAGAAAAGCTTACAGGCTTAAAAGAATGCTAAACTCTATTTTACTGGTTGTTTATGTGGCTCAGTATCCACTGAAAATGGTATGCTGTTGCCTTCTAACCGTGAGTTAATTACAAGCTCCCCTGAATTCCCATGTAGATATAATATTCCTTGCTGGTTCTCTAGCGTTTTCGCGCAAGACCATCCCTTACCTGCATATATTTGTCATGTACGCCTGCAAAGTTTACTTTTCGGCCACCTGCGCAGTCCGTAGTTGTCGCAGGGTACTACGGGCTAATTAGAGCATTTCTGGATAGCTATGCCTATCTAGAACATACGCCGCTTCCCTACTTTTTATATTTTCTTTTCTTTTTTCTGCTATCTGCTTGCAAAGCAGAAAGCCATTTATAGCGAAAAATAAAAATGGCCTTATTCGTAGACCACTATTTAATTGCGAATAACTCGCAAACTACTGCACATATTGTGTTGCTTTTACGTTCAACGTATTCAGGCGCTAAAGCTGGTCCAGACCAGTGTAATTTTGTGCCACTTTAAGCGGTATTCTAGCTGCAGAAAGGCATTTTCTTTTATCTGAGAATAACTCAGGTTGAAATTTTACGCCGGAGAGCAATATCAGCGTAAGAAAAGTATGGCTGAATTTTTTTGTTAATTGATATTTTTCTACGGAAGCACGCAGCTTTAATTTCTCTCTTAACAAATTGTTTCTATTTTTGTCCGCATTTATCGGAATTGTTTTCAACTTTTTGTCTGCCTTATAATCCCTGCACTCATTTCTTCCATGTGCGCACAATTGGGGCAACTGAGTGGCCAATTAATGCGCGATCAATTTAAAGTGCACTTTCGGCGAATTGGATTCTGTTCCAAGGAGAAAAGGCACAACTACACCTCCGTGAAGTTTTCACAAAAGAACAAGGAGTTCAATATCACCCGCGGGAACCAGAAACATGTCAAGCTGGGCGCCTGCGACCCAGTAGCTGTATATCAAACAATGCCAAAGCATTTGTAATTGCTGACGATGAACATATACTTATATTTTACCTACTTCCATGCAAGAGCATCGGAGTTATGTAAGCATTGATCCGAACCCTTTAGGGTGCAGCCTCTAGCAGGTCTAGAAATATACCTATTTATTTATTTATTTATCCAGAGACCGCGAACTTCACCTTATCACCCACAAACCAACGGCATGACCGAACGGTTCAATCGGACATTGAAGACGTGGATAAACTGCAAGAAATTGGCATGGGAAGATGCTTTGCCTCAGGTTCTGATCGCGTATCGGACCAGCATGCAATCAACCATCAAGGTCTCGCCACTCGAATTACTGTTCGGCAGAGATCCACGGATTGCGCTCGATACTTGCCTACCGAACCAGGGTGAGCGGAAACATCCAGCTGGACATCAAAAGCGACTGCGAGGGAAAGCTAGAATCGAAACCAAAGCTCGACAAGCGCGGAATAAGCGCAATTACGACGCCAGGCATGAGGCTCACAAGTGGAGGCCATTCAGGATTGGAGGACGAGTCAAGTTACGAAACAGCGATCGGCCGGATCATGACGGGCCGGGCGCAAGCAAGTTCAGAGAATGCTGGAAAGGCCCCTACACCATTCTCGACCAGAAAGCGGGCAACTTCTTAATCGACTGCGGAGGGATGAAACGTTGGGTGAATGCTGCTCTCCTGCGACCATGGTACGAGAGGAAGCAAGGTCCTCGAGGAGGGGCGGGTGTAGAGAGGCCGCTTCCAAGAATGCCTCGAGGGAGCTCCTCGGAGCGAGCTGAGAGCGGATCGAGAAGGACGGCTAGCGACGAGCCTGGGCCCGGAACTACGGAGCGGGAATATGTGGACAGCGCAATAAATCAGACATATACGCCGCTAGCGCAGCCCACAGGACCGAGGCCGAGCCGATTGACACAGCCCAGAACAAGTAAGTCGAGAGCTCTCGAACGACTCCTGGCGCATCCAAATCGGGTACAGAGAAGTGGAGATCGAGCCGAAATC